TGGAGACATAATCAGTATCAAATTGGGGGATATTGTTCCTGCTGATGCCCGCCTTCTCGAGGGTGATCCTCTGAAAATTGATCAATCTGCCCTTACTGGCGAGTCCCTTCCTGTTACTAAGAATCCTTCAGATGAAGTCTTTTCTGGCTCAACATGTAAACAGGGTGAAATTGAAGCAGTTGTTATTGCTACTGGTGTGCACACCTTCTTCGGTAAGGCCGCACATCTGGTGGACAGCACCAATCAAGTTGGGCACTTCCAGAAAGTTCTCACTGCCATTGGGAACTTCTGCATTTGTTCAATTGCCCTGGGGATACTAATTGAGATAATAGTAATGTACCCAATACAGAGGCGCAAGTACAGGCAAGGGATTGATAATTTGCTGGTTCTCTTGATTGGAGGAATCCCAATTGCCATGCCAACTGTTTTATCTGTCACTATGGCTATTGGCTCCCATAGGCTTTCTCAGCAAGGAGCTATCACCAAGAGAATGACTGCCATTGAGGAAATGGCTGGCATGGACGTTCTCTGCAGTGATAAGACTGGGACTTTGACCCTGAACAAGCTCACAGTTGATAGAAATCTGATTGAAGTGTTTGCCAAGGGTGTGGAGAAAGAGCATGTTATGCTTCTTGCAGCAAGGGCTTCTAGGACTGAAAATCAGGATGCTATTGATGCTGCAATTGTAGGAATGCTTGCTGATCCTAAGGAGGTAATTGGTCTCTCACTTTTCTTTACTTTATCATTACTTTATGGTCCAAGCCTTCATAATCTAATCTTCTGTGTCGTATAATAAATTGGGTAGGCACGAGCTGGTATAAGAGAAATCCATTTCCTACCATTCAACCCCGTAGACAAGAGAACTGCTCTGACCTACATCGATTCTGATGGAAATTGGCATCGGGCTAGCAAAGGTGCCCCCGAGCAGGTAACCTTGTCTTAGCTCAATTCTAGCCATTGATTTGGGGAAGAATGTCCCTCTCCGGACATAACAAATGCAGATATTTCTTATCCTCAGATATTAGCCCTTTGCAACTGCAAGGAAGATTTCAAGAAAAGGGTGCATGCGGTGATTGATAAGTTTGCTGAACGTGGACTTCGTTCTCTAGCTGTTGCAAGACAGGTTTGAAAGGCAAACATTTATCATATGCTTATTGTTGTGTCAACTGAATTCTTGATATCATTTCTGTCATTAATTTATCTCCAGCAAGTACCAGAGAAAACAAAAGAGAGTCAAGGGGCACCATGGCAGTTTGTTGGTTTATTGCCGTTATTTGATCCTCCTAGGCATGACAGTGCAGAAACAATTCGCAGAGCTCTCAATCTCGGTGTGAATGTGAAAATGATTACAGGTAAGCTTCATTGCCCCTTTAAACTGTGTATTAAACTATGACTACATGTAGTCCCTCCTCCCATTTTTCTCCTGCCTGGGGAATTTCAATGCTTTATTCATTCTGTATAATTTGTCTCCCTATTGTGTAGGGGACCAGCTTGCCATTGGCAAGGAAACTGGAAGGAGGCTTGGTATGGGAACAAACATGTACCCGTCTTCCGCATTACTTGGCCAAGACAAGGATGCAGCCATAGCTTCCCTCCCCGTGGACGAGTTGATTGAGAAGGCTGATGGATTTGCTGGAGTGTTTCCTGGTGGGTTCTACCAGAACTTCTTTGTTCTTTCTGCTTTCTAATTAAACAAGCAATCTGTTTAATGAGAAGCTTTCTTGGTAGTAGTTTGCATTTCCAAAGCACTTGTTATTGGTTTAAATTCAGCCTAGACTCATGATGGTTCATAGCATTCATAATGATTTATAATTTAAACCAATACCAAGTACTTTGGAAATACTCCAGTACCGAGGATAATTGTGAGTGCCGCCAACAAGTAAAGAGGACAGAGCAACATTTAATTCAGTACTTGTTGGCGACACAGACACAATTATCCACTATTTTTTTCATTATTAATTAAATGTGCACAGTATATGAATGTTCTGAACTTGATATTGACCCTTGTTCTAACACATCCTTTTAATATTATAGAACACAAATACGAAATTGTAAAGAGGCTGCAAGAGAGGAAGCACATCTGTGGAATGACTGGAGATGGTGTCAATGATGCTCCTGCTTTGAAAAAAGCAGATATTGGTATTGCCGTAGCTGATGCTACTGATGCTGCAAGAAGTGCTTCAGATATTGTTCTCACTGAACCAGGATTAAGTGTGATCATAAGCGCAGTACTGACAAGCAGAGCAATATTCCAGAGGATGAAGAACTATACTGTAAGTTACATTTATGTTTATTGAGTGGATATAGTGGTAAATCTTCATGAATATACATATAGTTGTAAATCTTCATGAATATATGCATAGTGCTAAATCTAGTGTTTTATAAATCTTCCCAGGCCATTCTAATTATTTTGTTCCATTTGCAGATCTATGCTGTTTCAATTACCATACGTATAGTGGTAAGTGAAGCAATGATCGGTATTTAGATGCTAGTGTTTTCCTATTTTAGGCTGTGTGTTGGTTCTCACGTTGCTAAGATTTGTGCAGTTTGGATTTATGTTCATTGCTTTGATATGGAAGTTTGACTTTGCACCCTTCATGGTATTGATCATTGCCATCCTAAATGATGGTAAGATCATCCGCCTATCTGTTTGTATAGGTTACCATTAGAACACTATAGCTCTAAATGAGTCTGATTTGTTTCTGCTAGGAACTATCATGACAATATCAAAGGATCGAGTGAAGCCATCTCCACAGCCAGACAGCTGGAAACTGAAGGAGATCTTTGCTACTGGCATTGTCCTCGGAGGTTACATGGCACTAATGACTGTAGTCTTCTTCTGGCTTATGAGAGATACCGACTTCTTTTCGGTAGGAATATAATCTTTCTATTTTCCATTAATAAATAAGGTAATCAGGTCACAGTTGTTTTGGCAAGTGTGTTCATTCTTCTGATTTTATTTACTTTTTTTCATAATGCAGAATAAGTTTCATGTGAGACCTTTGAGTGATAGGCCTGAGCAAATGATGGCAGCGTTGTACTTACAAGTGAGTATTGTGAGCCAAGCCCTTATTTTCGTCACAAGGTCTCGCAGCTGGTCGTTTGTTGAACGCCCTGGACTTCTCTTACTTGGAGCTTTCATGATTGCTCAACTGGTAAGCATTTGTGCCAACAGATTACCTTGATAATGTTACCTAATTGCGCTACTGGATGCAAAGGTTTTATAATTCGTAGTAATTTCCAATAATGTTAAGAAATTTGTGCCTTTTCAAAGTAAAAGTTCCCCTGTTAGCAAGCTTAATACCTGTATGATGTTTCACTTGGTCGCAGTTTTACACGTAGGACAAAAAAGAATTTTCCCTTTTCTTATAATAGCTCATTCTGCAAAATGGCAGGTTGCAACTCTCATAGCAGTGTATGCAAACTGGGGTTTTGCACGGATAGAGGGAGCTGGCTGGGGGTGGGCTGGTGTCATCTGGCTTTACAGTATAGTGACATACGTCCCTCTTGACTTGCTTAAATTTGCAATCCGATACATTCAAAGCGGGAAAGCGTGGAATAATCTTTTGGAGAACAAGGTATGTTGCATTCCACTACATTGTAAGCGCTACTCTACATTATATAAGTTAGATTCATGTTTCTTGCCACAATTTACCTTATTGTGCCTTCCCAACAGACTGCCTTCACTACAAAGAAAGATTATGGAAAAGAGGAAAGAGAAGCACAGTGGGCTGCAGCACAGAGGACCCTTCATGGTCTTCAGCCACCTGAGACGAACAACCTTTTCAATGAGAAGAACAGTTACAGGGAACTTTCCGAGATTGCAGAACAAGCCAAGCGGAGGGCTGAGGTTGCAAGGTAAGGACCAGTTGTACTCGTACATAGATAAAGAAGCGCACATGCCTGGATAATGATATCTGCCGGTTCTGTGTCTTGTTCCCGTGAAAATGCTTCATCTTGCATCATTTCCCTTTGCTGGTTTGACTTGTTCTTAATTGAAATCAAGTTCTAAGAGAGTTTTCCATTTTTCTGCAGGCTTCGGGAGTTGCATACTCTGAAGGGTCACGTCGAGTCAGTTGTGAAGCTCAAAGGACTCGACATCGATACAATCCAACAACATTATACGGTTTGATGAGCCTTCCAAAAGGGAAACACAGAGAGGCTTAAGCTTCTACCTTGGAAGAGTGAGAAGCGATAATTAATGACGATGATGATGAAGCGCATATCAATAACCTTGTGTCTATAGATTAGGTTGCAACTAGTTTACTTGATGTTAAATATTGGGCAGAGGTTTCTCCTCTTTCGTAGCCTAAAAACATGAATTTTACAGCTTTCGTTGCTTTTAATCAAATATCGCCCTTTTCTTGTGACTGCTGCTTGCTTTTGCATTATTACTGCACAGAGTAGGAGCCTACAAAGCAAGTAATAAGGAAGGACCCATTATTTTATGGGTAGGACATAAATCTTAGCTTTCACTTTTTTGATGGTCGATAAGAAATTTGCAAAATCCGTGTTGGAATTTTACAAGTTTGATACTAAATTGTTACAGCATTGTGACTTACCCAAAAATTGCATATTTCATCTCTTGGAAGCTTTTCTCAAAGCTGTAGAAGAAAATTGTGTTTTAGAGTCGGTATTAATTATCTTATTGGGCAAAGCATTATTTTGGTTCATGTAGTTTAGTGAAGTTTTACTTTGTTCAATTGTTGCAGCTTAATTCATGTTGTTTACTAAATTTTGCAATCCAAGGACAATAATTTCAATTTCACAACGTTTGTAATGGAATTAGCAAGTGAGGGGCATGCACGTAACACTATACCTTATAAAATTTGTGATTTATTAACGTAATAATTATGTTATAAATAAGACGATGGTATACAAAGATGAGCATTAGAGTTCTCAAGTTCAAATACTCTGTCCTCGATATTGCTTGGATTAAAGAAAACAAAAACAAGGGAATGCTATAGTTTATGACAGTTTTCATGGGTTTTACTAATTTATTTATATTGTTTTTTTTGTGGCAAGGGAAGGGACACAAAAAGGGGAGAGAAATTTGAACCTAGTAGATGTCGGATAAATGCTCTCTCCCACTAGAGCTACAATCGCGGGTAAACCTATAACGATGATTATTATGATAAGCAACTAGTACTTATCGAACTCAGTGGATTAGCCTAGCAAACAAATTTTTTGCAAACAAAACCATAAATATACGGAATAATCTAGTTCACAGCAGCGCAATTATGCCTAATCTCCCCCTGCTTTCCAGTCTTGATCCCTACTCGTCCAAGCTTTGTCATAGCTGCCACAAAAGCTCGTTCGAAGGCGGCGGCATCCGCTGCGAATTTGTTGACAATTTTTCTTGATTTGGTTTCAGTGAACAAGGACTGATCAGAAGTGAACAACCCTTTCCCTTGCTGAAGGTTCTTGTAGTACACATTGTCGAATCTCTGCGGTGTGGTTGGGTCCATATTAACCGCAATTCTCGGATCAACATTTTTGGGACACTCTTTTCTGAGCTCCCTTGCATATGCGATGTTCATCGTTGGATCGATTCTGTTCTTGCTCTTGAAGTTGTAGATCCGGTGAGTGAATCTGTTGCAATGTGAGAATCCAATTGTATGTGCTCCTGTTACACATAGATGTTTTATTTAAACTACGCTCTGGACATGAAAAAATGAAGTGAAAATATTTTTTTCGGATTCAGGACGTGACAACTTTTCTTTATGTACCTGAGAGTGCGACGAGATCAGTTAGAGAGAGACCGTGTTTGGCGAACAATGAATCAAGCTCTTCTACCTTAAAATCAGGATGGGGAAGATGTTGTCTCACGCTTGCTTTTGTAGAAGTCCTCCCATCAAGTCTTCCCAATTCAACTTTGTAGAATGGTCCCCCAGTCTGCACCCAAAGAATATATGCTAACCTTTCTCTAATTCTCTACTTAGTATTATTTGATTAGTAAAAACAATCATAACTTTTGACTTAATCAGTGACTTATAGGAAAAAGATATTCCTTTTTCAAGCAGTAAAAAGGAACGAATTGCTTTTGAACTTGATTAGCATAGAGGTTAAACGTTCATAAAAAAAGAGGCGACTCTAGACCAACAAGGCTCTCCGCTTTGCAAGAGTTGGGAGGGAGAGTGTGGGAAAGAACATCTATCGTACGCAGCCTTACCTTTGCTTTGCAAAGAGGCTGTTTCCACAATTCAAACATGTGACCTTTTAGTCACAAATGAACAACCTTTGCGTTGCGCCAAGGTTCAACCTCTGAGGTTAAAAGTTCATAATCCACAAAAACAAACCCCACATTGAAGTGAAAATGGATTATGCACTGAACAGTAATAGTTGTGGATTATTACAGTGTATGAAAAGTTATCATTTTTCTCAGTAAAACTGTAAAATTGTGAGAGAGAGAGAAAAACCCCACATTGAGGTGAAAATGGATTATGCACTGAACAGCAGTAGTTGTGGATTTTTACAGTGTATGAACAGTTCTCATTTTTCTCAGTAAAACTGTAAAATTGTGAAGCTTTAAAGCGTTGAAGAGACAATATTGTGCTTATTTTACCAGTCTTATGACATCCCTTGTGGCCAAGGCCAGAATGTCAGCACAAGAAACCTTGTTCCTGCAATTAGGCACTCTATCAACAGCAGCCTTGGCTTTGATCACCGTGTCAAACCCGTCTCCGGCGAGTGAAAGGTTATCCGAATTATCCTTCTCCGCTGAGTTGTTCCGAAACGCTAGCATTATTGAAGCATCACATCCCTATCCAAAAAACAAAATACTTCACACACACTGCACATACATCTTTGATAGCACAAAAGAACTTCGAAGCAACGAAAAAATGTAAGTTTTATGTATGAAAGATCAAAGTTACCTGAACAAAACAATCGTGGAAGAAGAGCCGGAGAGTGGCTGGGGCTGTCACAAAAGTCTGCTCAAACTTCTGCCTGACTGCAGCATGAACAATTGATTCAACATTAGGGCATGATTTTCTGTAGTGCTCTACATGAAGTTGAGCAAAAGTGCTTTTGAGGAGGAGGTGGAGAAGAAAGAGTAAAGGAAGATAGAAGGTGCTTTTGGAATTCATTTGAAAATTTGAATACAGTAGGTTCTTGATTGCGTTAGTGTTATGCATGTGAAGCATGTCTATATAAAGGTTAATTAACGTGAGGTGGCTTTGTCTGTGAAGAATATTCAAAGAAAATAATGAGAAATTAAGTTTAAAGAATAATAAGATAAAATTTTTAAATAAATAAATAAATAAAAACTCATAAAGGAGTTGGTTTAAAAAAAATGATGTGACAAAATGGCAAGCACGCTAGCATGCTGATAAAGATGTTTGGATTTTTGGATGTTTAGTGTTTTCAATTTTAGATTCTTCCATACAATCGTACATATTGTTCTATATTATATATTGTAATTTTCTTATGGTCCTCATGAAGATCAAGAGTTGATGAGTGCTATAAGTTTATAGGATGATCATGTAACTGAGTGCTATAGGAAAAAAGAAAATATCTTTCGGAATAATTGTCTTTCTCGTTTCATAAAATCTTTAATGGTGGAATAATGAGTATGATAGTTACTTTTGCAAATAAAAAAATTCATGCATATTGAAAGTTGTACTTACGTGTGCTAGGATGGTACCCAAATAAAGTAAAACCCGTTCTTTTGTAAATTATATGACCATTTAAATAATCAAACTGCCTTATTAAATTTTTTTTGTCAGAATTATGAAAGATTAAAGTAAAGTAATTGGGTATTGTGGGAGTGTCATTGTCCAATCTATGTGCTATTTGGCATATGAAGCAGACAGTACTCAGAAAAATGCATATAAGGCCATAACTGCTCTACAGAATATGTGCTAAATCCAAATTTACTGTCTTTCATTCCTGTCACCATATGGCCTTTGAGGAACAACAAATGATGTGTATAAAGATTATAAAAATAAAGCTTTAAAGTAGGTTATAAAGAATGGTTTATAACTGGTGTAATTGTATAAAGTAGAAGGAATTCTATCGGATTTAGAAGATTTTTTTTTTTTTTTTTTGTATTATTCGTATAATACAACAAGATTTACCCATCAAATCTCCTTCTTCTAGCTGGCCACCCTTTCTATCTCTCTCCCAATAGTTAGTTTTGCAACAAGATTTACCCATCAAATCTCTCTTCTATAGCCGGCCACTCTCTCTCTCTCTCTCTCTCTCTCCCCTCCCCCCCCCCCAATAGTTAGTTTTACAACAAGATTTACCCAACAATTAAAATCGTAGTGAGAAATGTTGTAGTGCTTTTTTTGTAGAGTGAAATTGTTTATGGGTATAAGAATATAAGTCACATAGTATATTATTTCATGTGTTATAATAAATATAGACGATAATGTTGATATATCATACTTTTGGAGTATATTAATAAAAAAATAAATTTATATGTTATAATTTGAGTGAAACAATAAAGTTACGTGATCGTATGAATACAACAAAAATTACTCGGTTTCTACAATACCAACCTTCAAACATTGCCACATGGATAACCCAGAAAATAAAATATTAGTTACAATGGAATATTATCTTTGTTTGAATATAGGGCAGCCCACGTGGTTCAATAAGTAATATTGGTGAATCAAAGTAAAAAAGCAACCTTCTATGTCTTGCCAAATGCTATTTGCCGGCAATTGCATCATGGGCATATCATATGTAATAAATTTCTCATATTTCTTACATAGAAAGGGAAAAAAAACTTGTCATAGTTTCAAAAAGAGGAGAGGAGATGCCAAAACAAATACAGATAAAGTTTTAATAGGTATATCGAAGTAATTTATTTCTTATCCATATGTTAATGTCTGATATTTGGATTGATACTGATTTCTCACTTAGATTTAAAGATACAATCATCCAACATTTTTGAGAGTTCAAACATGAAACATAAGCTTGTAGAATCTCTTAATACCCTAAACGAAACAATCATGTCTATAATTAGGTCAAAAATTGGAAAAGAAAATTTGTGAAAATAGGAGTCGAGCGAAAATAAAACACAACTTTGACCTTAAAATATAACGAGTCAGTTGATTGGCCATGGAAGTTAGATGAAATTCAAAACATTAACGTTCAGATAAAGAAAATTCTTGTATATCAAGAATTATCTCAACAGTTTAGATGTGAGATTTAAATTTGATAGTTTAGAGGTGAGATCACTGTGAGGCTGTGGGCTGAGCTATACCTATATAGATTCGGGCTCATTCATAATTTTTTAAATCACCCATCTAATTTTAGCCCTAATCTGACTTTGGGACCCTCAAAGCGGCGTGTCGTTTATACCAGTCAAGACAACGACATCCAGTGAGAGTGAGTCAGTTTCCCTTGGTCAGCGCACAGCCTAGAAAGCGAGGGAAAAATGGCAGCAGCGTCGTTTAGGTGGCTACTGCAGCTGCACAAGGACGTGCCAAAAGCCGCTCGGTTCTACGCCGAAGGGTTGGACTTCACCGTCAATGTCTGCACTCTTCGATGGGCGGAGCTCCAGTCCGGCCCACTTAAGCTTTCCCTCATGCAATCCCCCAAGTAAATTCTCTCTCTCCCTTCTCTGAGACTCGGTGCTCGATGCACACCAGGTGTTTGATGATTTGTCTAAACCAACTGCTTACACGTTCTTTGCCGCAAATGTTACAGTTCGTTCGTGTTTTTCGTAAAAACGGTATAGTTGAAAGAGACCCAACTCAAGTTTGTGTCGATTGAAAGCGTAAAACATCAAAATTTCTTGGTTTTTTTTGTTTTATTTATTTATTTTATGGTTCTTGCAAGTTTTGCTAATGTGGCATAGTAATTGGATTTGAGCTTTGGGTTTGGAATGAAATGGCATCTGCTAATGATGAATGTTTGACAGGGATCATGTCACGCAGAGCGGAAACTCTTCACTGTTGTCCTTCACAGTGCCAGACATTAATCAAACGGTGACCAAGTTGATTGCGTTGGGAGCTGAACTCGATGGCCCTATCAAATATGAAGTTCACGGCAAGGTGATGACTAAATTTCTGAACGAAACCATTGCGATCATTTATTCATCTATCATCGCTAGTCGGGTACTCTGGATGCATAGATTTTAATACGATCACATTACAGGTTGCAGCCATGCGATGTATTGACGGGCACATGCTAGGCCTCTATGAACCTGCTTAGGAGTTTCAGAAGCAAACCCCTTGAAAAAGTGCCACAAGCTGAAGACCAAAAATAGGGTGCTTGGAGCCTTCGTTAGTGAATCATGAAAATTTTACCCCATTGAGAAGATTTGAGAAATTGCCAATTCTCTCGGATTCCCTTCAACGATTGTTTTTGTTTGATCATCCAGATATTGTGCATAGCGTGTGAATTATTGTGGGGCTTGGAAAGAAAGCAAACAGTGTAACCAAACCTGTTCGCCACTATGACGCTATCCCAGACCAGTAATGCAATGTCATCCGGGGAGACACTTACACATTGTGTAATTGGTCTAGAACGTCATTGTGGCATCTGAAAGTGTGCAAGATGAAAACAAGCGACTGCAGGAATTGCTGTTCCTTTTTCTGTCACTCTTTTTGGTAGAAATCTAAGAATATGAAAGATGCTGTCAATTGATTCAAGTAAAATAAATAGCCTTCGATTAACCTGAAGGGGATGTGAGAAATCTCTGGCCAATCTTCCCCTCTCTGTAATCGTCCTTCTGGCAGAGGAGATTGCTCCAACTCTACGATGCTTCCCTTAAATTTTTGTAAACTCCTATCATTTCCGTTCAGCAGTTCATGAGAATGCGACGGGTGGTGAGATGACGAGGATATTATAGGGAAAACGAAGGTCAATTAGAACGTAAGAAGCTATCAAAGTCTAAATGGCCTCAATTCAAATGATGACACAATTTAGATAGATCAAGGCAGCAAGATACAGAATTCCAGTGGGAATGAGCAGGTGAAACTCAGATATACAAATTGCCGAAATTGAATCTGTTCCTATTGTACTCTACTGCTAAACAACCAGAGCTATTCCTGCACCACTTTTGGCTATGGCTTTGTACAAATCCAGATGTTCCGACTGGTGTAGCATTACGAAGAGTTCCCCTCGCATATTTCCCGAAGAGTTTGGGGCAAATTCAGCACTATGTCAGCGTATGCTGGAGTGGGATCACAAAACAAATACAAAAAAGTAACAATCAGAAAATGTAGATGCTCACAAAGCATACATATGAACTGTTCAGTAAACTGTCCACGATCCATAAGTCTTGTTTATAAGTTTCCATAGAAAATTAGCACCTTACTGACATTAGCAATAAAGTTGCAGCGGTTTTTTTTTTTTTTTTTTTTTATATATTTCAAATGTAATCCTAGACCAAAAACTTTATCAGAGTTTGCCAAGTATCATCAGGTAGGGTTGAGAAAAATGTTCATCCAAATTTGAAATGTCATTTATATTGGTAGAGCAGTAAGCGAGCGAAAAAGTCATCAACCAGAAAGAATACCTTCTGGTAAGCTCTTAGTTCGCAAGGCATCCTCTGCATAGAAGAGGGTGGTTGGACCTTCCAATGTTCCGTTTTCCTTTTTGTTCATGGATGATATATTTAGACTGCTTTTTCTGGGTTGACACACTGGCCACGCTACCACACTGACATGAGTTGGAAGCACAGAAACAAGCTCTGCATATTTAAGCTTCACAACTACCTTGCTGCAAACAGAAAATCACATTCTTCAGGATGATGGAAACACATTTACTCGTGATGATGTATGCATAACCATGCCTGCTACCAAGATGGCACTCAACCACACGTAAACTAATAATTGATTCGATTATATGATAGGATAATGGATATAAAAAGCAAACGCTATCATCAACTACTTTTGTCTTGTCAAAAGAATACATAGAAGTGAACAAATCTATCATTGTCCTACTCAAGACAAAGCTATATTAAGTGCCAGATAGATCAAGATATGTTAACTCAGATGCGTTAGTAACAAATTACCGAGCTCATACAAGTACTCTAAAAGGGACTGGCAAGGAGTATGAATACGCTGACATATAATTACGAATGTGTTTAGAAAATCAAGATATTATTCTATTGATGCTTAAAAAGCCAAATACACAGTATAATGCAGGGAACAAAGCACCAACCAATCAAAATCAAGTATTGAAAAGACGATTAAGCTGTAGGGAAGGGTAAAATGAATTTCTTTGATCTGATTCCCATATAACTCCTTGACAAGCCTAACCTGCATGACAATCAGTGAACTTAGAGTAGTAAACAATTGAATAAATAGGTGTAATGGAACAAAGCTATAGTATCCAACCCACCCACGCCTCAATCCCATGTCTCTAATTTGCACATCTCATCCAGCATATGTTTATCTCTTCAATATTTGGCAACAATGCAGGTAACCCACCCTTCACCCTCCTCTAACCAACTATTTTTGCATATTCTAATAATTACAAATTCGTTTTAGCTTACATAAGCCAACAGCATACCTGTTCCCTTCTGTCCACATAAGCCTGTAACATCTCTCCAATGTAATCTATAAATTTCTGAAAGCACATCATAAACGACAAATAATCAGACCAGGGGCACAATATTGAGTCAGCAAGGCTAATGCACAAACCCAATCATACCATAGCATTGGAGGAAAGAAGATCATTTTCTGCTTCTCGTATTGGCAAGAAGTACGGAATGGTGTGTTCAAGGACTGTCATTTTCTCAAGAAACGACTTGCTCTCAAGCACACAATGGTATAGGTCACAAGGTTCTCCTGCGTCATTGCAGATACATATGAGTCAGCATCCCCACCGCTAAAGGCCAAAGTGATGAATGTGTTACAACCTTATAGCACATATTTTTTTTTTCTTCCCAAAAGTAAAGTATTTTTCTATAACCTATCTTGATGAATGTGTTACAACCTTATTGGAGACTGATCCAACTGTTACACCAATCTTGATAAATAGAATTATCAACGATTACCTTCAGTTCACTTATGGAATATTTTACACCACAGAACAATGATCTCAGATGGGAAAATGATGTTTTTTGTGCATAGATAGAAAAATGACATGATACCATACTAGACACTTAAAATACTAACTAATTGAAAATAAATTAATTACTTCGCAGCACACCTGCATAAGATGTCTCATACAGTATGCCAATTCTTGCCCCTTCCAAACAGCAAATCACCTGTCCACAGATTAAACCAATATTCAGGAAACTTCTCACAAAAACAATACTCAATAAGTTTATGAAATAAAGATTACTATATGCATATGCTATATCTAACATATAAACTCTACAATTAGATTATAACCAAATAAATAACCTTGAGTCCTGGCATTATTGTTTGTATTTATATTCACTCTTAATTAGAAATTACATCTACAAGAAATTATTAAATTATCAGGAACCGATTGACAACAATGCACAGTTATTCTACTACCAGAGAAGCTTATTTGCTGGCAAAAGGACAGTCCTCCTGTTACTGATTGAAACAAACTTCTCAAAATTACCTTATTTCCGGTTTTATACGTAATTTTTTCTTGACCAGGCAACATGTTTATGTCTCCCGCCATTGCCTTTCTTTCAGCCTCCATGTGAACCTGATTAAAATCTAGACCAATTAGATAACGCAATTTTTCACCTATATTATGAAAAAATGAAACACAGGAAAACGAGATATCAATTCCATCACCAAATTCTAACATCAAAGCTTAAGGAAGCCACGGTAAATCTCAATCACTTTAAAGTATTGAATGGAACCGTACCCGCTCTCTTATTGTTGCTAGTAGTCCATCGTTCCATTGTTCACCATCCAAATAAGTCTCTGCAACAAAGAATATATTTCAAGTCTTACTCAAACCAAAAGATAAACCAAAGTTTTTGCACAAGTCAACCCAACCAACACACAACTCCTTAATGAATAGGAAAACTTGGTAAAAAAAATTCAGAATATTCAATAAGTTATATTGCTTAAATCAAGCTTATTATCACGTTGGTTATTTATACATTCTGCTTAAGTTACATATAATAACCATAACTTTGAGCAATACAATAATTCCAACACGGGTGAGCCATCAAGACAGCACACTAATTTGTCCCTTGTAGGACTGGAGCCATAAAAGTCTTCCCCTTCAGTCGCTGGTATCCCCATCAGGAGAAGGTTCAATCACACACTTTGCCACGACAAGCTTTTGGTCAACTAAAATACCACAACCTGCTAGTGGTTGGGTTCCTTAGGACTGTATATACTAAAGATGACTACAGTGCACAGATGATGTGGGACTTGAGGTATCACACCACATATGTGCTCTCCTCCAACAGCATTTAGGTATCACACCACATAGTAACTTGACATAATGCGAAGCTAGATTCTACTGATTCCAATTACATTTGAAATGAAACATTAAACATAACACTTTTTAAAAGATACCTTGAGTTTGTGAAGCCCGTGCAGCTTCAAATTCCTTCTGTAGACGCTCATAAATTATCTTGTCAGCATCCCTGTTAAAACAATAGAATCATGAATAAATTAGTAGTAGTAATATACAAGTCCACCAATAATGTACTATTTCTAACTGGAGTAATGATGAACAAGGGCTCCTTTTTCTATGGAGGCAGTCAGGCAGACACACAGAATCGCCTTCGAATTCTTAGCCTATTTTATTAAGGCATATATCCACACCTCATAAAGAAATAAACAAAGACAGGTGCGTGTGCCAAGTATTTTTTTTCACTGGTGTATTTAATAAGTAAGCATGTATGTACACATGCGTGTGTCTGCAATATATGTATGCACAATTGCGCATATATGCTTACACATACAAGATAAATAATACTAAAGTTACTTGCAAACAGATTAGACAACTCTTTACTATAAAGTCAGTTAAGACATCTTTAACATTTAATCACAAGAAGCCCGACAACCATAGTGTGGTTTTTTATATTGAAATTTCATGTGGATATTTCAAGAACATAAAATTGCATTACCGATTCCAGAATCCAGAAGTAGCTTGTTGTCCCAAATTCACAAAAATCACAGGAGAACATCAGGTTATTCAGAAAACTTGTTAGTCCTTTTAGAAAAGATACTTGGAATTTCAGTGACCTACGAATCATAATCAAATTCATACTCAAAATAGAAATATATGAAGAAACAATGCTACCCACATTTTTTAGATAATCAAAGGAACAACTGGACTTCATTTGGGGCGAGGCAAAAGCATATAAAATGCCTGCAGTTATAAACATAGACATACAATAAGAATTCTTAGTAGATTTGTTACTTCCTTCTTCCACTCTTCGGTGATATTCTTTTCTCCTATTTCGTTGCACACGTAATCTCTAAATACGATTTGGTAAGTGAAACTCTACAAAAACATGTACCAGAAAGAAAAGGAAAACAAAGAAAAAAAGTTTACAAAAAGCATATATCATTGAGCCTCGAGGAAGCATCGCCAGAAGGGCCTTGAGTATTTGAAGTCACTCAAAAATAAATTCTCAAAATACAAGCACTCCATAATCTTTGAAAGCGACGCCAGTTCCATAATATACCATGATCTCACAATAATAAAAAACGGCATGGTGAATAAAGACCTAACAATTGCTCCACGAATACTTTACCTAGAAAGACGCTCCGCTAACTCACTATGCCTTTTGAGAACATTTGTCCCTGTCAAATACAAGAAAAGCTTCAATGGCCTTCACAATAAGCAAGAATTCTTGTAAACGTTTGTGATAAAGAACAAAGACAATAAAATACGAATACGAAAAGGGTTGCTCACATCTAGCTCGTATGGCGTCTAAAGAAATATCTTCCTCTTGCATATAACCCTGTTACAAAACAACACAAAAGTATAATCTTTGTGGCAAAAACATACAGAGCTCCGGAGCACTATAAGTAACAACAATTTGACTGTGACCATCACCAAAAACACACTTCAACTCAAACAAAATTTAAAACTTGAAAATTGAAAATTCTACACCGCAAGATAACATAAATTGAGTAATAAATGATAATTAATACCATTTCTCCTAGGGCATAGGAACGTCCGCTCAGCGATTCAAGCTGCTGCAGTATTTAACAGAAATTGGAAGCAATTCGTATAAAATATGAAGAAAAAATTCGAAAAATCCAATCAATTTCTCAGCAAAAATAACAATTTAAAGTAAAAATAAACGGAGAATTGCAAACGAAAGAAAAAACTGACCCTGCGAGATGGGTCTCCGAGATACGCCATCTTCCTCGGTCTCCGCCTGAAATGCTCTTCTGCGTCGTCGCTGTAATCCATTCCTCACAGGAAAGAGAGAGATGAGAGAGAGAAGAAGAAGAAGAAGAAGATGCTCAGAATGGGTCGGACTAACCCGGAATCACAAAAATTAGGGATTTTGTAGAAAGTCGGGTAAAATTACTTGACCCGAACCCGAGAATAAAGTCAGGTAACGAACTGGGCCGCCAGGTTAAAACTTGCATGTCCTTCGCTCGCAGACGGGCCGCCAAGAAACTCACCTTATTTTCTTACCTCCGTTATAAATATATTTTTTTGTTGAAAAATGAGTTTTCTTTTCTAAAAAAAATAAACATATTTTGTTGACCTAACCAAGAAAAACAGAGTATTCAGTGTTTTTGGACAACAAAAAGAAATAGGTACAAAATTTGGACAAATTCACAAATATTGTAAGATTAAGCTTTCGAATAACATCCTATAATTTAGATAATTTTGGTTGAATTCTAATTTTTATTTATTTTTTGATCAGATAATACATTTTAAATTGAATTTGAAAAGGTTGTTAAAAAAGTGAGGTGCTAAAATATGCATTAGTAATAAGTCACATAAATAATGAAATTCATGGTTAAAGAAAGTTTATTCATATTTGGACGTCATTGTTGCACGTCATCTTGACATTTCTTGTCACTAAATTGATCAAATATTTTTTTTTCAAATTATATTGTTTTGAGCATTGTAATTATTTTTGTTTCAAAAATTATATGTCACTCATTTTAAAATATAAGTAACGATCATCAATTTAAGTTCCTAAATTACAAAGTTCATATCGTATGTACATTTTCTTAAATAATTATTTCGTTTTCAAATTTTTTTAAAATTAAAAGTTTAAATTTATACTAAAAATAAAATTATTATCAAACAGATTTTTTTGTAACTAAGAGTGATACGTGGACCTAATTTTTTTGTTAATACAAACGAGAATGCTACTCTAATCTACGCTAAAGAGGGAGAATGATTTGAACTCGAGATGCAATGATTTTTGTTTTGAAAAACGATAACATTAGTGGGTTAAATAATTAATTATTAGAATAGGGGAATTGGTTAATATCGACACTGCATCATGGTGCATAAGCATAATTACTTTCCGTTACTACGGCAAAACATCATTGCCACCAAAGCAATTTACCACTCCGTAGATAATTACTTTTCGCTACTAAGGCAAAACGTCATTGCCACCAAAGCAATTTACCACTCCGTAGATAATTACTTTTCGCTACTAAGGCAAAACGTCATTGCCACCAAAGCAATTTACCATTGTAACATCCTACATCGCCTAGGGGAGTGGATCATGTAAGCCTTATATGTATATTCTCATCTCTACCTAGCACGAGACCTTTTGGGAGCTCACTGACTTCGGGTTCCCGTAGGAACTCATAAGTTAAGTGAGTTCGCACGAGAGCATTTCCAGGATGGGTGACCCACTGGGAAGTTCTGCTTGCGTGTGTTCCCAGAAACAAAACCGTAAGGGTGTGGTTGGGGCCCAAAGTGGACAATATCGTGCTATGGTAGAGTCTGAGTCCGGGATGTGGTGGGGCCCGAGCTAAGATGTGACAATTTGGTATCAGAGCCAATCCCTGATCGGATGTGTGCCAACGAGGACGTCGGGCCCCTAAGGGAGGTGGATTGTAACATCCCACATTGCCCAGGGGAGTAGATCCTATAAGCCTTATATGTATATTCTCATCTCTACCTAGCACGAGACATTTTGGGAGCTCACTGACTTCGGGTTCTGTAGAAACTCTGAAGTTAAGCGAGTTCGCGCGAGAGCATTCCTATAAACAAAACCGTGAGGGCGTGGTCATGGCCCAAAACGAACAATATCGTGCTATGATGGAGTCAAACCCGGGATGTGATAGGGGCGGGGCCAGAATGTGACAACCACTCCATAGACTTAATTCTTAAAAAATAAGATTTCAAATTTAATGTAATAAAACCTCCTAAAACACAACAAATATGGCAAGTATTTTTTTAAATAAAACTAAAAATCCAGAAATGAGAAGAAAACAACACCGAGAAAGAAGAGAAGGAAGAGAGAGAAAATCAAAAGAAGGAAAGAGAGAGAGAGAGAGAGAGAGAGAGTATCAGCAGAAGCGATCGAGCTACACAGAGCGGAAGTTCGAATATAAATCAGCAAACACCAAAAAAATACAAAAAAAATACAAAAAAAAAAAAGCAGTGAAGAAATTTCAAAAATAAAAAAGCCCAAGAGAGATAGAAAGCGAAAGGCAAAGTTCCGAAGTCACTGAGGTTCGATTTTTCTCTGCAATTCGTCGAAGCTCGATAAGGTCAGAGTTCAATCAATCTCCCAAAACCCCTCGCTCACAAACACTCTTCCAGCTTTTCACTATTTGATTTGTCTGTTTTTTATTTTGGCGCTTCATTGCGCTTTCTCCTTTTGTTCGAATTCGATTTTCCTGCAATTCGAGCTCTGTTTCTTCACTTCAATACGCCGAAGTCACTGATCTCGTTCCCCCGACTTCAAATTTCGCGTCTTGAAGTTGAAAGCTTGCGAATTGGGGGAAATTAAATTCTGGGTTCGGATTGGCGGGGTGGTGTAATTCAAGTTTGCGAGGAGTTCGAACCCGAATTTTTGGTGATTCCAAGTTAGGGTTTTTTATTTGTAATGGTTATTTTTATTAATTAAGCTTGATTGTGTATAGTTTTGTTGGGATTTAGCGAGCTTTGTTACTTGGGTTGATCTCTAGGGTTTTGGGATTGAGAAGATGGGATTTGGGTTTGCATTGTATGGCTCGTGGGTGGGGCAATTTTGGGTCTTTTGGATACAGGGTTAACCGAATTCCGGTTCGAGATTGGGGGTTCTGGGTTTTTTTTTATATGGTAGATGGTTTGCCTCTGTTTGTGGGGATATGCAGAGTTTTGAGGATTGATTTGCAATGAAGGATATGGAGGAGTGCAAATTCTGGGTTTTCTGGAAACAGTAATAACGGTAATTTTGGCTTCTGGTGCGGTTTCGGGGGAGATTAGTTGTTTCTTGTGGATGGTGTATGAATCTGTTTCTTGAGAAATGCAACCTCAGCAGTTCTCTAGAATTGATTTGGGTGATCTGAAAGCACAGATAGTGAAAAGGATTGGGGCCGAGAGGTCAAAGCGGTATTTTTATTACTTGAACAGGTTGTTGAGTCAGAAGCTGAGCAAGAAAGAATTTGACAAGTTGTGTCACCGGGTGCTCGGGATTGAGAACTTGCCACTGCACAATCATTTCATACAGTCAGTCTTGAAGAATGCATGCCAAGCCGAGACCCCACCACCAGTCCATTCACCAGTTCCTGCGAAACCTGGGATACAAGCTGCAAACAGTTCTCCAAGTAGAGAAGATGGGCAGGAACAAAGCCTCTTTTCGCATCAAAATCAAAATGTACCCGCTTGGTCGAATGGGGCGTTGCCAGTGTCCCCACGAAAGGGTAGGTCCGGGATACGCGAATGGAAGCTAAGGGATAGGCCAAGCCCACTTGGACCAAATGGGAAGGTAGATACTGTATCACTTCATCCGACTGGTGCCGATGATAATGGCGGTAAGTTTATTGTTGAAAACGGGGATGTGCATGCATTTGATTATCAGAGACCAATGCAACGTTTCCAGCCAGTTGCTGAGCTACCTGGCAATGAAAGAGATGGTGCAGTTTGGCGGCCCATAGAAAAACTGCGGATACACAGCAAAGACCAGACTGACTTAGCTGTCATTGATCAGGAGGAAGAGGGAGAACAATCAAACCGCATGAGTTTCTCAAGAAGTCCTCTACTTGCGCCACTGGGGATCCCACTCTACCCAGCCAGCGTAGGTGGGGCCCGCAAAGCTTTTCCAGTTGGGAGCAGCGGTGATTTTGTTAGTTATTATGACAGTGGGGGATTGTCCGATACGGAGACACTTAGAAGACGCATGGAGCAGATTGCTGCAGCACAGGGTCTTGGAGGTGTTTCTACAGAATGTGCCAATATGCTGAATAATATGTTGGATGTGTACGTAAAGCGATTGATTAGATCCTGCGTTGAGTTGGTGGGAGGAAGGTCTACATCAGAGCCAAAAAAGAATGCTGCACCAAAGCAGCAGCAGCAGCAGCAGCAGATTCAAGGAAAGATTATCAACGGCATGTGGCCAAGCAATCACATGCATATGCAGAGCAGCAGTGGGCCCGTGGAAGAGCAAAGATCTCGGTGCTCAATATCTTTGCTTGATTTTAAGGTTGCAATGGAGCTAAATCCACAGCAACTTGGAGAGGATTGGCCATTGCTGCTGGAGAAGATTTGTATGCAAGCATTTGAGGAATGAAAGATCCTTATGAAGATAAGTTCATCCCAAAGTTGTGTTTGGGTCGGTCCGTTCTGGTTCAAAGGTCCTGAGATCACCAGTTGTTGGAGATAATTGGTTCAAATAATTATAATCCCATTGCCAGGATGCACCAGATGGTTCCTGAGTGGGTAAAGTTCCGGGTATTGCACGGTGAAATCATCTGTTTGAGCATCAAATGTCTGTAATTTCTTGCCACTGAGCCAGGATCCATCCAGAATTATCTAACTGCAGCCATTCAGGGGTGTTTTCAAACTGAATCCCCATGTTTGGTTGTTCTGTTGTATGTTTAACATAGATGCTGCTGTATTTGCTGCCGCTCCAGATCTCACGCTTTCGTGTAATTGCAGCCAATGGAAGAAATATAAGAAAATTTTGCAGGGACTGTGTTCTGTAGCTCGGTGAGAGGTACAATTGCTTGTGTAAGAGCTGCAGTATGCTCTGTATGTATTTTAGAATCTTAGATTGATTTAAATTTCAATATCAATAACACATCGACATCAATTGAGCTGTCCTTGACGGCATTAGTTTAACTTCCGTGTTCATAAATGACACTCAAAATATTTAACTGCCAAATTATCGTTCACTGCTCATGTGTTCTGGTTGACATATGTGAATGTATATTTAACCTTTGATCAAGCAAAACAGTTGTTGTGGATATATTTCTGCAGGTACACACAGAAACACAATCACTCACATTTCTAAATCTTAATTACTGTCAATTTGATTTTAATTAGTAAGCTGTTATATATTTCCTGTTGATGAAACGAAACATGTTTACATATGTCCCATGCGTTCTCTTTCATTTCCATTTCATCTGTAATCCTTGCTTATCAACACGCACTGTTTCTGTCTTCTTTTCTCCTACTCTTCTTTTTCAAGCTTCAACTTCGATCATCCTTTTTGTGTTAATTTCTCGTGGTAATTCTGATCGATTGCTGTAAATTAATTTTGGTATTTCCATTTTTATCTTTTATTTCATTTGCATCTATTGTTTTCTGTAATCATCTTGTAATAAAACTTACTGACCAGTAACAGGACGTTTGAGGCATGGTTTTCTGCATCTACATTGTTCTGCAATTTCTGGGAAGCTTCAGATTCATAAGTAGCACAACCTTGGTATTTACCGTTAAATCTTGGTTATTGTATTTTTTACCAATGACTTGACGGTTAAACCGTTTTCACTTTTCTGTTACAAACAATGAAGCAAAAGCAGAATTTCAGGAAAAAAAAAAAAAAAAAAGGGTTTCTTCAACATATTTGATGTGGCTGTTGGGATCATTTTCATAGGTTTCACTTGTCCTTGGAACTGTTGTCATTGGTTGCTTTTGATGGGTCCCGACACATCCTAGGACTTACGTCCCTGCTGCTGTTACGTTTGCAGTGGAAAGAAAAAGACCAGTCTGAGATACATGTGGCTTCATTTGACGACACCCATGTTTACCTGAGAAAGTAGAAGCTTATGGAAACCCCTCAGTTATTGCAGTTCCACAGTGGATAAAAGGGCTCTGGATATTTTCCTGAAATAGCATCACAGGATTTTGCAAACTGCTTTCGACTTTTGGGCTGTTTCCTGGTTTTGCACCATATTTGCATTATTCTTCTTATGTTGCTTTCTCTTATGTATCATGTGTCGCACAATCTCTTTGATTCTCTGGTCACATGACGACAAATAGTTTAAGGTGCTCCGGAGAAATGGACACTTCGAGTTTTTTAACTGTTAGATTTTAGTTTTTGTGTTTTTAAACAAAGATCTAACAGTTAAAAGTTCAAAGTATATAATACTCCGGAGTATCGTAGAAAATCCCCACTTGACTGACCATGAGATGAAAGAGACTTAAGAGTATACAAGTACGAATTGAGTTTTCTTTCCCTTTTTATTTATTGGTTACAAGTTACTTATGTGGGTCCTAGGGTAAAAATTCGAAAATTCTAAAGTATAATGTACTTTCAAGTTCTACTATTGGACGCAAACTCAAGAATTCGAGACAACGGAATGGGTGGATATGAGCCTCTTAAAAGGACAAGCTCATGAGCATGTGATTGAACATACAAACGCACAAGTACAGTGCAGGACCAGATAACTGTTGGCATCTCTTGTAGTTTGGAAGATCAAATGTTGGCCTTACATGTGACCTTTCTGGGCGGTACCAAAGTTGCCTGATGGAGACCGAATCGTAGGATCTAACTTTTTCCCATGTCACTTGAACAAACACAAGACCGCATCAAAATTGTTCTGTCGGACAATCTCATCAAATTACTTACTCGAATCGGAATTTTCAGTCACTTTACAACCCCCTTTCAAAATTTGTCCAAGATCAGATTCCGGTGACATTCGAATGCCATGACTAACAGACGGCGGCCATCTCATCCGATAATACGCATCGGTTTAGTAGAATGAAGTTTGAAAAACGAATGGTAAATTATCAAACTGTACTGAAAAAATGAGCTCTGTTGTAGATTATGGAGAAGCCTATAACGATCATTGCCAAAAATGGTTGGGATAACTAAAAACCCGACATCTTGAGCATCAAAACGATGCCTTCTAAACCGAAAACCGAAAAAGAAACACGTTTGAAGAAACAGCACCACTTTGTATAATTGTATGTATTCACAGTTCCACAAGTGAATGCGGATTCAGGCTTTAAGCCTGACAGCTTGGATTTATTAGTTGAATGAGACGAGACGGAAGAGAATCAATATGTACATGGAAAGGGTAAACTTTATAAAGAAGAAAGATACAATGAGGAAGTCTTTCCTCCAAATGATTTAATGACTTAATTATGTGGAGGGTGGCGAAGGCGAGGGTGCTGTTGCTGGTGCTGCCGCTGCCTTGCATATTGGGCACCAATTCTTAAGCCGCAGCCACTGGTTTACGCATACAATGTGAAAGCTATGCTCGCAGCGCAATCTTCCAACTTCATCTTCAGCCACATACTCTTCCTATGAAAAGATAGACTGATAAGTATTACTCTATATATAGAGAATTAAATTCAACTAGTACGACCCGAAACAAATCTAAAGTATATCTGATTAGATCCACACTGAATTTTATGACATGTTAAACAACATTTGGAAGCATGCTGAGCTAGTTATAACTTCTAACTTATCCGAGGAACTGCCTTGCACCAGTGTAGGTTCAGGGTGAAAACTTCGGGAGGCAACCCCTCTACGATAGCATTAAATAATCATCAGGTGCCCAATTTTCTTAACTTAGAGGTGCTGCTACATAATTACACTTGGTTTTAAAAGAAAAAAAGATCAGAGCTATTGGAAAAGGACCTGGCAGATACTGCATTTGACATCCTCCTTCCCATCGCAGCTTACGGATGCATTTTCTTGGGGTGTGGACTGATAGATACTTTTCTTAAGGCAATCGGACAATGCTTCTTCTGGCAATGCTGTGCTGACAGTACCCATCCTCTCTTCTAGAGCTAATAATTCCTGACATCCAAGTAGGTGAATACCGTATATGAAACAGATGAAGATAAAAAAGTTACACCTATTATAGTATTTTAAACCGAGCATTAGTTGATTATTTGAATTGATTCATTACAGAGGAACTGATCATAACAAAAGGTTCAGATGCACCCTGACCAGGTCAGAATATTATTCAAACATAAATGAACAATGAGACATACTACAGATTATTTCTCTGTGAAATGAATCGCAGTGCACAACAATAGCAAACCTCATATGTCATGTTGTCGATATCCAATCTCATGTCCCTGTGATGATCGTAGATGTTTAGGCTATTCAGGAACAAATTGGTCTCGAGAACAAGTATTTGCTGAAATATGAAAAAATATCAGTTAAAGAACAAAAATTCAATCATGCGAACACAAAAATCTACAATAAGTTAATAACTACCTCAAATGATAGCTCTTCATCGTGTTCAATTCTCTCGAGTGCTAGCAATACCTGCACAATTGTTTGAAATAAACAGATTAAGAAATGAAGGCACAACTACGTAAATTCTTTAGTGCTCCTTCCTATACAAGGCAACACATTGTAAGACCACAAAAATGTTCATCAAAATTTCATATAATACCTCCGCTATCCCATCCATGTTGTAGCGTCGCAGTCCATCCTGATTCATTAGAGAGCGGGAAAACCCAACATCTGAAGCACCAGCTCGCAGAATGCCATGAAAAGTACCACTGCTACTACCTGGCCGGCTATAAGAATTCTGCCGAATTAAAGGAACTTCAGCAGATAACTGTTGTGATGAAGTAGAAGCATTTGAGTTGATAGACATTTCAGGTTGAGACGTATGTGGGCCAACTGCAGAGAATCCATTGGATGACGAGTTGTTTCCACTTCCTTGATGAGGAAGCAGCCTTCCCCTCGAGTGACCAGTGACAGTTCTCCGAGTCCTCACTGATGCAACACCATTGTTATCCCTGTTAGAAGGCATATTTCTAGCTCTTCTTGAATCAGAAATTGAGATGCCATGGCTAGAATTGGAATTTTGTGCTGACGATGACCCATTCATCTTCTTCCCCTTAGCAGCAGAACTACTTTCTCCTTCGGAAGTTCTTTTCTTTATGGTCTCTCTCCGACCAAGGCTTGAATCTGATGATGAACAACTGGATGGGGCAACGTCAGATACTGAACTGCATCTTAGACTTCTTAAACCATTCCTGGCTGTGCTAGCCCGTGTCTGGATGGTGCTTTTAGGTCCCGTAGAAACACTGGAACCCACTATGGAATCTGGGCTGCGCAATCCAGATCTCTGATTAAAACTCCTTCGAGACCTTGTATTTGATGCTACACCGGAGCTTCCAACTTCCATCAAGGTGATTTCACTAGACACAGAATTTTTAGATTCAAGGTGCAACCCTCTTTGAATTTTTCCCGGTGGCGGAGCAATTTCTGAAACTTCTGGATCATCCTGAACACTACTGGTTTCAGATGAATCAGTATCCAAATTAGAAGATAGCTTTTTATAAGGTTCTGCAATGGAGTTTCTTGTGTTGCCAACACCAACGCAAGACCTCGAGGAACTTCCAATTATCTCTTTCCCACTTGACGAAGAGCGAAATGTTGGCCTTGAAGGTTTGGCCTTTTCAACTTGAGCACTTTTCACAGAGTTCAATCTTCCACTGCATCCCAGTCGGCTACAGAGCTGAGCATTGCGGTCTCTATTGGGGGTTTCCCTCAAAACAAGACCAGATCCCTTTTTAGAGATGAGTCCATTCTCAGCTCTTTTACCCGAAAACTCATCCATGTATGTTGGTCGTATGTTTCAATTCTGTAACAACAGTAACAAAAAAATTTATGATCATTGATGCCATTTTACAAGTAAAATTACATCAATTTCCAAGTTCCATGAAGAATGTTAGTGATAGACAATCTAGATCTAGATGGTGAAGTATCATATGGTAGTCAAAGAAACTTTGGTGCTCAAAATTGGCAATTTTTTTGGTAGGGGGAGAAAACAAGGAAACAAAATTGCAGACATTTCAAAACTAATAATCCTAAGAAAACTGTAACGGACAGGTATAAACAAAACAAAATATGTTTCATATGTTACATGTACAAATACTATGTCACATATGTAGGCAAAACTACACACAAAAATGTTAACGGAGAAATGAGTCACTCATTCGTTGCGGAAAGTAACAAGAATCCAATGTAAACCAAAAAGTTACGAAGAATCCAACAAACCTTCGTGGCTCCAAAACTTGGAATCTGATTAAGGTTCTAACTTCAACTATCTCATTAAAGTTTAAATTTCCAGATCTTTTGATGACAAAGTAAGCTGGAGGCCAGAAATACCGATGCATTTCCTCTGCTGGAAGTAATAGTCCCCACAAACAAGTTTCCTAGTCAGAGGCATGGAATCCTTATTCTACTATAAAGGATAAGCCTTTCTTTCACCTTTAAAAATTCGACAGCGGCTGAGATGTCATTGACATTATAAGAGAATTTTCTTACTTTACCATAACCGTTTCGTTGATTATTCCATCATACGCGAATAAAACTGTCCTCGACAAACTATTTTGGAATTCATTATCTGTACGCATGTCTACTCTATAAAAATGCATAAACGTCATGACCATTATCAACAATTTTGTATCCTAACTCCAAACTGCATCACAACAATTCCAGAACTCAGAGCACTAGCAATACATGAAACATCGAAACAAGTATGATTTCTATGCAGAGAACAGAATAATAATTAGACAAAGAAAATACATATAACATGCACCAAAACAGATGATCAGAAGCCCAAACACGCAGGATTAAGCATTAAAAAGCAACAATAAGCAAATTAAGACCTCTGTTGGGATTAGCTATGCCATTGATGATACAAAGAGAAACCCAATATTTTTTGTTTTCCTGTGAAAGAGAACCCAAAAACCCAGAATTCTGATTGTGTCAAAACATAAAAAGGAAGAAAAGCAAGGAGTAAAAAAAGGACTCCAGATGGCCACATGCCCCATAATATCATCCCAAAAAAGTGGCCACAAACCCCTTTTTTTCTTGAATTATTCTCCACACAATGATCCTATTTTCTATTCTGATCAAAGACTCCCTCCCCGTGTTTTCAGGACTTGAAAAAAGAGAGGAAAAAGCTGAATTTTTTAGGAAATAAAAACCAGTAAAAAGGAAGGGAAAGTTTATCATCATTTCTCCTCCATATATATTCCAACAAACCCAACAGAAATTTTCACTTTTGGACTTGAAAAGTGCTTATTTTTATTGGTAAGGAAGATAACCCAGCTGAAAAAAAATGATCAGAATTCAGAATTCCTCACCAAAAATTATATATTTAAAAAAAAATGAAAAAGTTGGAGAAAAAAGGAAGAAGATGATGATGAAGAAGCAAACGCAGCAGCTACCCAAACCAGGAACGATAACCAAAGATAAAACCCAGATGGAATTTTTATTTTTTTTTTAAAAGTTGAAGAAAACCCAATACAATTCAACAATCGTTGAGTTTAGATAGGAGTTAAAAAACTAAAATTGGTTATCCTTTGTTCTAATTTACCTATTTCCTTCTCCTCCTTGTTCTCCTTCTTCTTCTGCTTCCTTCCAATACCCAGAAGCCAAAAGTTCAAGCTTTTTAAAACTCTAGAGAGAGAAAGGAAAAAAGGCTTTTCCTCTTAGAGAGAGAGAGAGAGAGAGAGAGGCAAAAAGGCCCGTGTGAATTGAATGATTCAATGCTTAGGGAGAAGTCCCTTGAAATATTGGACTTTCGTTTTTTTTTTTTTTTTATTTATTTATTTAATTTTAACAATTTTGGAGTTTATTTCTTTCCTGCTTTGGAAGCTTAATTCGAACAAACAAACAACAGCCAAAGTGCTGTGCCGTCCGAATGAGAAAATGAGTTCGGAGAATTGTGAGCCGTTGGATCAGATAAAGAGTCGACGATCGACGGCTGTGGAGGCATGTGACGACATGATCAAATATTGGTTTACCATGTCACCCCTCACCGGCCCCCACACCAACTTCGCGACCTCAGCCGCCTTCCAACGTCAAATTATAGTTTTTTTTTTTTAAATAATTAAAATTAGGACTTTTTATTTAATTAATTTTTTTTTAGGTCCAAGTAAATTACAATCCGCCTTGAGATTGAAGACTTGAAGTGGGTCTCTTTCACTTTGCTTATCAGATTCAGATAGATGGATTTTGATGCGTGTGAATAAGTGCGTCAACTTATGTGGATGAAAACTACATATTCATAGAAAAATACACTATTTATCCATACATATCTAATACGCATTCATAAATCTATATTCAAATAGTAAAGAATACTAACTTGTCAGCGCTTGAACAGTAGTGTACATATAACTTCATGTTATGTCAAAACAAACCGAATGCAAATTTATATGTTGAAAGTTATTTGAAAGTCTAATCTTTCTTTTTGTATAAAAAGTATCCTTGTGGATCGAAGTACGAGCGCAATAAAAAATAAGTATAAGCGGTTTAGATTAAAATTGCACTAAGAATAGAAACACCATAAACGAACGATTGAGAACAAGTTTTAAGTCTTGGTTAGAACTCGTTTGGAACTACTTTTAAAATGGCTGAAATTGTTTTTTTGTGATAATATTTTTGGAAATAATCCTTAGTAAAAATGCAAAAGTGAATCCTGGAAAAGCACTTGAAATGCTTCCTATAAAAAACACATAACTAATGCTTATTGCAGGAAGCACTTTAAGTGCTTTTGGAACATATAAACATTTTTATCAAAAATACATAATAATCAAAGAAATTAAACATTTTTCCTAATAAATAAAATATTTGAACTTAGAGTATTACTCAAATATAGTAACATATAAACAAAAAATTATACGCAAGTTACTTTTTATATTACATAAGATTTTACTACTTTAAGGTACGATAATGGGCTACTTAGATTCATCTTCACTTCTAAATGTGAGGTTATGTTTGAATCTAGTTAACGGCGAGTTCAATATCAAACTATATTGCATGTTCATTGCGTGACTTAATTCAAACTCTCACATCTTAATCTAAATATATCGTTATACATAAGTTACACTAAAAAGAGAAAAAAAATACCTCAATACAAAACATAGTGAGTTGATGGAAAAACTCTTAACCACTAATTTTATTCAGAAAATTGGATTGGAAGTGTTGTGCATTTTTATTTGCTACTCAACTCATTCATTAGAAATTATTTTTGAGAAGAAGAGGAGGATAATCAAAATTCATCAAAATTAAAAATAAATAAAAAGAAAAGAAGATTTGAGTACACAAGTTTTTTATCCACAAAAACAAAACCCGTGAATTTGGCAAGGATCGAATCCACAGAATCTTGAAACTTGAAAGGGAAGGAATTTGGTGATCACGACGTCGTTTATATTTGTGGATCCACACTCATCACTTTTTCGACCCCCAATTATATATATATATTTTTTTTCTCTACATTTTAAAGGATATTTGGCAATTCCACGAAAATACTGTTTCAAAAAAACTCTTTTCATGCAGTTTTAAAAGTTTCTTTTGACGAAAGAAAGATAAATTGAATAACGTACACTAAATTAATTTGAATTATGATTATAGGAATTCAAACTTGACAAGTGTAAGTTTGAATGCAATTCAAATTTTCATTTCAAGTCTTTTGGTTATTTTGGAGAGATTTTTCAAACGCGAGATTTTTGAAACGTGATCATGCATCGTAATTTAAGTGAAATAATGACAATACGTGATTTTGTTCTCAATATATTGAAAGATTGCTCCAAAATGAGAAATATAAGTCATGTTATTCACCCATATTATAAAGCGTGCAATGATACATCACGTGACAAGTGTTCATGTTGTTACATGTAAAAACTTCTTGTTATTTTGAAAAATCAAAGCACATAGATTGAAGCAACTTGTTTGTAAACTCATTATGTATATGATTGTGATGTTTTGCTTGCACATCTTTCGTGTGTTTAATTTCCGCTTGTATTTTTCTCTCATCCATCGCAATAATAATAATAATCAATTACGCAATGAAGAAGATGAAGTTAGGTTGCCAAATAAATACACGTACTGTGTCTCCATCTTAATTTGTTATACGAGCAGATCTGTTTAATGTACATCTTTGTTGCAACATTACGCTTGTAATTTGTATTTTATGAATATTTTATGCATGGCTGATGGCCTGCGCGAAATGAGTTAAATCAACAAACGTTTTTAAAAATTTATTTTAAAAGAAGAGTTTAAATAAAGGTAAATTTTACGTGACATTGCAGTCATTAACTTTAAAAATCTGTTAACTTGTCATTAAATCTGAAATTGACTTCTATATTTTATTGAGACACTCGTATTTGAGATATATATTGGTTTGGAAGATCATAATTTGTTCGTAAACTTCAATCTTTTATGTAGTTTGTAGGATATAAATGATTGTGGTACAATTTTAAAAATATTCGTCATATCAAGAGATTTTATACTTTTATTGATTTTTGTTGTAACCTATAGGATTGCACGAGCACCCTTATTAGTATGTCGCTCAACACCAATTTTAGTGGTAAGAATTCCACGTTGTGGCCGTGGAGACCTGGGCTCGAACCCCAGCAGCAGCCACATTTCCAATAATTCTTTTTTAATTTTATCTCTTGGTCCTTCTAAGAACTCACAAAGCTAGGATTTCCTATTTTTTAATAATTTTTTTTAAATCATTATTTTTTAATTTACATACCAAAACGAACCTCAAATTTTGATAGTTAATTTATTTGCCATGTGTAGCATGAAAAGGTGTCCATCATCTCATACCACACCACCACCTGTGAGGCTGTGATGTAACTTTATGTTCCTCCTATAGTTTTTTAGCAACTAAATAAAATTAAGAGGGTTTTAATAAAAAGTTCGTGGTATTGTTAATTTTAACGAAAAATCATATTTTTATACTAAAATGTCAAACTTGGTACTATTCACTTTACCATTTATTTTATCATTATCGTTAAAACTCAAAATTTTCAAACATTTTTCATTAGTTTTTTTTTTTAAATTTAAATATTCTTAAAAGTTAAAACCATAATATTAAAAAAAATAGTTGATTACTTCTTTATTCAGTTAATTTAAGTAAGAACAATTAATGGCCTGCAGAAGAAAAGCAGGATGTGCCACAAATGGACTACACAGAGCAATTGCCATATATTATAGTTTAAATAATAAGAAAAAGCATTAGGGTTTAGACTTTAAAACATAATGAACACAGCAGGGATTAAAGCTTTATTCCACAACATAATATAGGGCCACATCAATATTTTTTATATGTTGCTTTTTCTTGTTGGGGTTTTATTTTTATTTTATTTACATTTTGCCAGGTAGTGATCTGATTAATTATTTAATGGACCTAATATTCTTTGGTTTTTATAATATTTGTGCACGTACGTAACAAACTTTGTTTAGGTTTGGAACCGATAATGATCCAACAGCACACTCTTGTCCAAATTATAAGCAGAGCAAAATTAAATTTATGGAAACCACTTTTCTACGTTCGAACTACTTTCGACTTCCCATCCAACCCACACACAACAACTAATATACAAAGCAACTGCTAACAACTTACACAATTATATAATTGTAATCACAATTAGATGAAAATTGCTCCTAGGTTAATGTATCATATGATGAGGTTTTAGGGTTTTATCTAGTACGATATAGATTTTGCGAGAGAGTTGCGCAGTTTGAGTGAACATTTGATCATAATAATATAGCGGGTTGACGTGACACTCACATCTCACAACTATATATTACACAAGATTTGTCTCATAATTGAAAAATCTCTTATTAATAGAGATAATGTAAATTGATTTTAAAGATCAACGATCGAAAATGAACCACTAATTATTGCCCATGTTCGTCGTCAGGCTAATGATTTGACCCATTGCCTTGCAAAATTTGCTCTGCGCGATACTGGCATTTGGTCTTGGTTCGAGGAACCTCCAGACTTTCTGACGGATCTCTTTGTAATAGATTGTTAAGGTTGACTTGTTGGGGCTACTTCCACCCTTTTGTGCTTGTATTGTGATCTCAAACCTTATTCATTTTTTATGAAATTTATCGTTGCTTTTCCAAAAAAAAAGAAGAAGGTTATTTTGACAAAAAGAAAACTTTTGATTTATTTACAAAATTTCTTTCAATGTAGAAAGGTCTCAGGTTCGATTTTTCATCTAAACTACATATTAATAAAACATTGTTTATCAACCAAAAACTAATAAAATTACTATTATACCCTTTAATACAAGACTGAAATAAAATATTAGAAAAGAAAACAATGTGAGCATTAAAGTAATTTTGTATAAATAAGTTTTTACTTTTTTTTTTAAACCTCACAGTTATGTCACTTTATTAATACCCTCTCAACTCATTATCTCTCTTTCCTAACTGCCAACCCCTATTTTTTGTTGGAATGTCTGCCAACCTGTTAAAAATAAATAACTCCTTTCATAAAAAAATTAAAAAACAAATATTTAAAAAATATATTTTTCAACACAGAGTGTGTGACCTTTGTTTTTTCTCAATTACGAAAACCATTGAAAGGGCGATCCAAATTAAAAATGTTGTTGTACGTTAAATGAAAATAAATATTAATGACCTTTCCTTTTTTCAGAAACAAATATATTCCACGAACCGTATTCAATTTGATGTCATCCATCGATGATGAAGCTGGCCCTTCCACATGTTTTATGAACAAATTGGTGGAGATATCATTAGTGCCATTCTTGCGCACGTTTAGATTTTGGTTGATCACGTCTTTACAGCATCCACTCATTATTTCAGATTATGAGCAAAATAATGCGGGCACATAGATCGTTCTGACATTGTTTTTATCTTTGCCTGTGATTTTTAAATCACAATTTCTGTAATTGTTGAAGGATTTTTTGGTGTTCAACTCCTTAATGTTAACTTAAATACTCAAAGGAAAATTAGAAGTTGATTGATTGTAAATTGAAATTATTTTGATTGATTTTGGCCATGACTTTTAAACTTAATTTGACCTGATACTGACTCATCAACGTTTTTATATATTTGACAGTATTGTGCATATAATGTATACAAATTTCTCATTCAAAAGTTCTGATTAATTCGACAAGGTGAGCTAGCTGTATTAGGGTATGAGCATCGAACTCAATATCAAAATATATATTCATACAAACCCGTGTTTAATATTGGGTTTAAGAACTAATATATGGTTGATCCACAATATAGATACCCAACAAAATATGAATACTTTATTTTTTTTCGTTATCAATGGGAAATATTTGAAAAAGAGATTTGAACTTAAAACCTTACAACTTGACCAAGAGCTAACTGTAAATCAAAGGGGTCGTGTACTTCTTTTTTATATTATTTTTATAGAAAACTTCGACGGTACAAAGATAATTTTATTGATATCGAAAAAGGGTATACAAGAAAAAAATAGATAAAAAATGCATGAAATGAATGAAGGACATAAACATTACCCTTCTAGAAACAAAAACACCAATGATACAAGGAAAAGAGGGAGAACATAAAACCTAACCCCTTTAAAGCCGAACCTAAAGGTCTAAACCTGCAAAACTAAACAAGCAACATCACAAGGTTAAGGAAAAAAAGAAAGTAAGACAAACATGTATGCCGAGATGTACATTAATTTGAGAAGCTGAAGCCAGGAAAACCAACATAGTCTAAAAACAAAGCAGCACAAACCGCCACTAGAGGAGAATCATGTCATACCAAAGTTGGAGAAGACAAACCAATATTAGCAAAATTAAAATTGTTGCATGTAAGAGAGAGTTTTTATTGTTTGAAACAACATAAGAAGCTTTAACCAACGAAAGTTTAACTCATGACCTTCACAAACAAAGTAAAAACTAAACGCCATTAAAACGAAATGATCGTTGACAAAGTGAGGTTTTGTATGGCTGGACAATTTATTTTGAGCTAGAAACCCTTTACTTTATAGAGACACTAAACTAGATTAACGTCCACACTTAACATCTTCTGTTACGTTAATACCAAGAAGATCATATTGTAATTATCAATTAAATTATTAGTTATGATACAAAGAAAAGGTCAACTTCTGCCACATGTCTTGAATAATAGTATTCGATCTGATAAAAACAAAAATTAGAATGTTTAGATGGCTTGATTTCATGGCCTCCAACCAACCCTGATTAGCACCACCACCACCACCGCACCACCACCCAGTTTTGAGTCGTGCGCACGTAATTTTCGCTTCTTTTTATTTCTCTTCCAACCAATGTCTTTCTCTTCCTTCATATATTTCATCACCTTCCCCACCATTTTCTCATTTTCTGTGATTTTCTTATAAATTACGTACCTTTGGATTGGTTTACTCTTCCTTCAACTTTGGATTCAATCAAGGTACGTTATTCTTTTTGTTCCTACAAATTCACTCTTTCCGATCATGATCATATATTCCTTACGCCATATGCTTTCCTTTTGTTTTAACTTGCAATCTTGGTTTTTAGATAGTGGAAGAATTTTTGTGAATGATGACTCTATAATATGCTTTCAATTGTCAATGTTGTATTTGTTTGGTAACTAGGATTGATCATGGTTTGGGTTGGCTAAATTCGGACGGCGCATCCATTTTATTGATAAGCCAACTTGTTTGGTAATTAGGGTTGAGTACAATTCGTATTTGTTTGATGGATGTTATGTGTTTGTATTAGTGTCTGGCGCAATATTTTCAATTGGTTTGCCATTTATACGATCTGAGGTCTTAAAACAAACCAACCAAAAACCATATGAGATTTGTTTAGGCAATCAAATTAGGTAGCGTTTCTAAATGAACTAGCAATACATGCACCGGTTACAGAAAACATGTGGTTCCTTTAACAAAACAAATTAAAGAAGGAAAAGAAGTGGTTCATAAGAAAAGAGTATAGACCTAAGAAAAATGCATGACAAACAGGAACGGGAGAATCCACAAAGACATGTTAGCCCACACAAAAAAATGTTCTCTCATTGAATGATTGGAGAATGCCATTCATGGTATAGCATGAGTACATTATCACCGTTATATTTTATCACACAAGTATATTACCGTCGAATATTTCATGGTGGCATCTGACTTCAGCCCCATTGGTAACTTTTATATATGGACCCGGATTAATCATACGTCCTTCCTCATGAAAGGTCCAGCGCTTAGATTCGTATTTGATGCAGTAGGATTTGGTCCAGGCTTGGGTGAGCCTGAACCGCATGTTTATTTGCTATGTGGATCACAACAGTAAATGACATTAAACATCTAAGGGGGGTGATGGGCCATTCAGGCCAATTTTCATCATTTCTTGAGATACAAATATTTAATTACGATAATACGTAACATAATGTAGCGTTAAACATTAAGTTAAGTGTTACCTATTCAAAGTTGTTAAAAATTTGATACCTATTAGTTCTATTTCTCTTTCTTCTGATGAGGATCTCTTATGCTGTTTGAAGACTTTATGATGTTAAATTGAAAGACGTTATATTGTGAATTAAGTTTTCTTAATAACATAATCGATGTTTCTTAAACCCTTATTACAATAGTAAATGTTTGGACATACTTATAATCAGTCTTGTGTTTAATTTAAAAAATTTCCTGCTGTTATTCGTGAATTACAATTTAATATGTATGATTTTAAGATCCGACATGGTTCTCTTCTTAATGTTCTTCAGTTTTTAGTTTTCAAGTGCGTCTTAATACTCATTTCTAACTTCTGTTTTCTTTAGATAATGCAGGGAGGTAGTGGTAGCATCTGAAACTTCTCATCTCGATATATCCGTAAATTGAATTGTCGATCTTTAAAACCTTGTATATATGGCGACAAGATCTAAAGATAGTAGCCCTACTCCAGGGAGGGAGAAGAAGAGCACATCATCCCCATCAACCACCAAAAGGCTCACCAAGTCCCAAACTACAGTCACTGAAAAATCCTTGTCAACCTCATCAGCAAAACAAGTCCCAAACTATCTCAGGCCGACGTTAAGCGCCTCGAGGCACGAAAATTCGCTGAGGTCATCGTCCGCCGGTGCCAAGAAACATGGCCCTGAAGATCATGCAGCATCTCAAAACCCTACATTGAATAGAAGAAGATCTTTTGACAAGCCACCATCGGCTTTTAGGATTCAGAAGGCATTGATCTCCCCAGGAAGGGACGCGCCACTGCGATCTTCGTCATTTTCAGCGAAAATCTCCTCTAATGCTCCGAGACCAAGAATAGAGAGGACGAAATCGAGCACTTTTGGGTCTGGAAAGCCGCAGCTTTTGCCTGCAAAGAGTGTGAAGAAGAGCAGCACAAGCAGTTCGGTTAAGAAGGAGAGTTCATCGGGTTCAACAAGAGCTCCGAAGAGCAGGGACATAACGCATACACTTAATCTCGAAGCGAATTTAGATGCTATAGTGTCTTTGGAACATCATGAGGTTGAAGAGGTAGGTAAGATTTCGACTGAGGAGCATGATAAAGTGATTCTTCCGGATCCAAAAGGCGAAGAGAGTGAGCACGTTGGTGATCATGATGCTGGTGTTTCTGAGGCTGAAGCAAATAGCGGCGAGGATGAGAAGGTGAAGGCTAGTGAGGGTTCAAATGGTAATACGGAGGAATTGATGGAAAATGTGGAGGAAAGAAACGAAGGAAGCGGAAGTGTATTGACCGAAAAAGAAGAGAAGCCGGGGGATAATGATCAACAAGATGGGGAAGAGAATGCAAAAAAAAAAGATGACAGCGGCGAGACAAAGGCGGAAGAGGGTGTGGCAAGTGAAGATCTGGAAACAAAAGTTGAGATGAAAGAAGAACAGGAAAAAGAGAGTGATAGTAAAGAAGAAAATGAAGGGGAGGAAAGCAAAAATGTTGAGGAAAAGGCATTGGATGAGAAGGAAAGAGAAGTGGTTGTGGATGGTGGAGTTGAGGAAGCAAAGCCAACGGAGGCAGGTGAGGCGGCTGTTGAGGTGGCAGAGGAAACACTAAAGCCGCGACAAGCGAGCGGGGGATCTTCACAAGGAGGAGGGAAGAAAGACTCAGCTCCTGCATACAATGATGTGATTGAGGAGACTACAAACAAGTTGATGGAGAAAAGAAAGAACAAGGTGAAGGCATTGGTTGGTGCCTTTGAAACTGTCATAGATTATGAATCCAAATGAAAAACCCTAATTTCATAATACGATGCTGTAAAATCTCTGTACATTTGACACATAGTTTGACATGCTGTGGTGAAGTGAGGTCAAAAGAATTGAGATGAGAAAAAAAGTTGGACTGGATTGAAATGCAAGAAAGATGGGGAGGGTGTAATTGGGACTTTCATATTTTCTCTGCATGAATTTGTTCATATTTACCTGTATTATGATATACCATACATTTTGTACATTATTTTTTATTTTTTTATTTTTAGTTTTTAGCTCAAGTTTATTGACTCCCCTTTTCCTCACTTTCAACTCTGGTGTAACCTTACCTCCATTCTTTGATGTGAAACTTACAAAATTATTGCACAAAACATTTTGAAATAACCAGCGAAAATCTGCCATGTGTCATTCGAAATGTGTGCTATGGTTATTCGTGGCATAGAAAATTCTTTTCTCCACCAACAAAAATGTAAGAAAAAATCTGCAAATTATTCATAGACGAGTACTTGTATACATATTTGTAAAATATATGATATATCAAATACAGAACTAAATTATTGTATTCAATAACCACCAACAATTTTATTATTCAAATTTGGAAAAAAAAAAATTGAATCCAAACAAGAACAAATAAATAAATGAATTTTTCTATATATAAGATATTTTCTTGGTGCCTAAATATAGGCCAGGTCACCCTTCTCTCTCAAGCTAACTAATATCCTCTAAAAATTATCCCGTCTGCAGTACCTTAGCTGCAAAGAAACTTGTCTCTCAAACATCAGCTGCCGGTGAAAATTCGCTATGAAAACATCAGCCCTGCGATCGACGTCATCATCATCACCATCGTGATCATCCAAAGACTGATCCTTCGGAAGATTACGGGCCCTTGTGCTTTGAACCCTTCTCAAACTGCGTTGATTCCCATCAGTACTAGTATTTTCATCTTCAATGCAGCTGTACAGCCCCAACCGGTCATTGAAGCTCAAACAATGCCTCGTCGAAGCTCGAGAAGAGCAGCAACCGAGGATCGAAGCCAAGCGCAGTCGGTTTAATTTGAAGCTGAGTAGAATGAGGTTGATTTTGTTCACCGCCCTCTTGAGGCTGCGGCTTACGATTGTCAAGGTTTCCCTAGCCATTGCTAGCTAACGGTGTTGAAGTGAGAAAGTTATGGAAAATGTGAGCTTGGTTTTATAGACAAGTAAGAGAGAAGATTGTTGAGCAAGCTAACTGCTAATGTGGTCACTTGAAAGCGTGTTGGGAAACTATTTGGGTGTGTTTGAAAGTGAAGGCTGCAGTTTACAGCTATTTTTAGTGAGGAATTACAGCTATGTGATTTGTTACATGGAACTGGATCCCCTCTGGACCTAAAAAATCTAAGTCTAAGGATCAAATGATCCGGACCGTTGAAATTTGATTTAACGACTACAAACAAGGACCCTCTAAAATTTATAATAATTGTAGCCGTTTGATCAAATTTCAACAGCCCGGATTATTTAATCATTGGGCTCAGTTCCTTTGAATCCGGAGGAGATCCGGTTGCTTGTTACATGGGAAGTGTGACAGAGCTTGTGTTTTTCTTCTGTTCTTTTTGGTTGTTTGCCAATCAAGAAGAAGAAAATGGTTGTCGTGGGGCCCACTACTTTGCTAATTGAGTCTTGCACTACAAGAAATTGAAGGGTTTATGATGGCAAAAGCCTAACTGGTGGTCGCTTAACTGCCCTAAATTTTGAAGTTACAACAGGAAGATTGAATTGCAATTGATTTGAAATAGTTTAACTCTTCAAATGCTAAGTGGGTATAAAATTAAACAAAATAGCCAAGTTAGATGAGTTCATTTTTGCTCACCCCTTTAATCAGGTGTAGCTTTTATTTTTTCACTGTTGTCTACGGATGACATTTTTTATGTTATTTATGCACAAAATTGACATGCTTGTTAGCACTCTCTAATATAGATGAGTTCCACACATAATAATAGGGCACACATGCATTAAAGAGAATTAGAGATTCTTGTGTCTAAATAACATTTAATCGACCCACTACTCCACCTCTTCTAAGTTTTGTGCTTATCCCCTTAAAGACTTGTGCTTTAGAGGTTCGTTAAAAAGGCATCCATGTCCTGTTTTTCTTTAAAGTCATGTTACTTTTTGAATTGGCGTTTCTTGTATTCCACTTCAACCAAATAAAGAAAAACAGAACATGAGCACAACCTTGAGCTGAAAGAAACACGAAAACATGAGGACATAAAAAACAGAACAGACGAAAGACAAGTTCTAAAGTGCATCATGGTTTAATTTTTTTTTCCTTAATTTAATGATAAAACAGGGGGGCTCGATCGAGAGCAGATTACAGAAATTATTTCGTGCAAAACTGTATATGAAACCAACACGAATGTCATATGAATTTCCATGATCAGAAGACATGAACAAGCTCGGCTACTGCTAGAATTTCTCTCTAAAAAACCTGAAGAGAAACAAAACTCTGAAAAACGGGGTGTAGCTGACCAAAACCGAGAACATCCCAAAAGCTGGTTTAACAGTTCTAAACTCAGGAGTTTGCGACCAACTGCTCAGGAACATCAACATGAGAGCTTCCTACCCCAACCTTTGCGTCTACGACATCAGCTACTTGTTTGTCCACTCCGTCCTCGATCTGTTTTAGTTTCTTCGACCAACCATACATTTGTCTCTTGACTTCCCTCTCGTCTATTTTTAGGTTTTTGAATCCCTGTTCCAAGTTGGCTTCGGCTTCAGCTTCAGGTTTAATAAATGCAACCTGCCTGTGCCCAACATCTTCATATAGCTTTTCGATCCTGGCTTTCCAGACAAGGCCCATTTCTGTATCCATCTTCTGGTAAGGAGTTCTCAGAAAATACTCATCAATCCCACCTGCCTTGTCTATGCAACGGAGAGCATGGGTGGTGACTTTGACTCGAATGTGGCGGTCTAGGATGTAACTAAAGAGCCGCTTCTCCTGCACATTTGGTTTCCATGTCCTCCTCGACCTGTCACCACCAAGAAAGGAAAGTTCTGGTGGTTAATATAACCCATTCCAACAACTCAATTAAAAAATTACACAACCAGATGATTCAAAATTGCAGTCACATAAGTCACCCCTGTTCTATAAGTTGCACGTCATATACTCGGTTCTGGTGGTTAATAACTTAGCATAACCCGTTCCCATCAACACATCAGAAGATAACAGAACCAAATCATTCCAAACCTACAGTGAGAATCTGTATGCACTCCGAGAATCTGTATGCTATGCCAAATTCTTAAAGGAAACCCAACCCATAACCTTTGAGGCAACTCAGGCCTCAGCTAAAATAGCTCTGAGAATACAATTAACACCGCGAAAACGGTTCAAATGGTAACACAAACCCATAACTTTCATAATTTCAACTTCAAATAAAATGTTCGAACGTATTCAATGTAAGACATCCAAAAGAGCAACAACCCAGCTAACTAAAACGAAATTAAATCAAAGCCACTGATCAAGCCCAAAATTATACACATTTCATATCATTTTTACCATTTTCTTTGTCATTGTCAAAAATTAGGGCAGAAATTTATTTCTAAAGCTCAAACCTTTGGCATTAAATTGAAAAACGAAAGAGAAATTGAGGAAATAAACACGCACTTGTTGCCGCCGTCTTCGCTGATTTGGTTGCCGAACTGGATGTGGCGGCCGGCGTAGATGCCGCGCTTGGCCCGACCCATGATGATATTCGAATCGGGTATGCCTTTCTTCTTGAGCTCCTCTCTCAATCGGGTGGGTAGGGTTTTGCTTCCCATGGTGCCTTTCTTCTTCAGCTCCTCCTTCAGCCGCGGCGTTAGGGTTTTGTCGCCGAACTTCTTCATTACGCTCTTGATCGTCTCCTTCCCCCTCACCGACGCCATTTCTGATCCCACTGTGTCTTCGAATCCTAATTCCTAGGGTTTTGCAGTGGCGATTGAGTTCAGTTCACTTCCTCTGTTTTCTGATATATCCAACGCGCTGCGTTTTGGGAAGCAATAAGCACTGCAGGTGCAACTTTAATCTACGTTCCAATTTTCCATCAACGGCTCTGATGATTTGATTATTTGAGAACGATAAACACTTGATTGAGTTGATTCCACAATAAAGGGAATTCTTTCTCAAAACACTTCCATCTTACGGAACTTCATATTTATAATTAGATCCGCTTATATTAATTTTTAACATTAATAACACTGAATTTTGTAATCTACCACAAAATGGTCAAGATTTTTTTTATTACAAAAAAATTATCAACAGTAAAATAGTGGAAGAGTAGAATAAGTCTTATAATGTGCTAGTAATAATGTGATTTAAATCTGCATTTGGCGAAAATTAAACTTAAAATATTTCATTTACAAGTAAAGAAAAATATAATTATACCGTAGTATTAAGTGACAATAAAAAATATCTTTTGAACAACTTATCTTTTTCTAATTATTTGATTATGATGAATTCCAAAAGATGTGGTTAATTTAGTTCTGCTATGGGCTTTTATAGCTACAATTCCCACTTCGGCCCACCATGGCCCAATGTACATTTTAGAGAAAATTGAATATTTGTTTTTTGAGTTAATTTCTGTTTATTATCTTGAAATTTCATAATTTTCAACATTTGGTACATGAAGTTTTTTTCATCCAAAATCAAGAAATTCTGTTAACTGATAACGTGTCAATATGGGCCTAATTCAATATTTAAAAAATTAAAAATATACAAAAAAACAAAAAAACCCAACCTTCCCTCACCCCCGCACCTTCACCCTCCCTTCTCTCTTCTGCAAATCCCAGCACCTCACCCAAATCCCACCGTAGAAAAAGGTATGTAGGCTAAAAATTATATTTGTTATTGATACATGAATGTGGAAAAATGGAAGAGAATGCAAATGGAAGAGAATGCTTATGGAAGAGAATGCAAATGGAAGAGAATGCTTATTTTTTCATTATTTTTCTCTACAAGATTACAAGGATATATATACATGATACAAATGTGTAGGTAGGACAAGGTAGCCG